AGAGGCTAGGAGTTATAATACATCACAAAATGGAGGATGATGGCTAGAATGACCATATTAAGCAATTCACTGCATCCCACCCTGATCCTTTTATAAGTGATTGATTTGTCACATAACTGCCAAGTTATATCATTACATAACTGCCAAACCACTAAGAATTATGGTTCAGCCAAGTTGACACATTTTGGGGGCGGGGGGACACAATTCAACCCACAACACTCTCCCACCTCACTCTCTGTGCTTCCCATATATTCTTTCAGAGATTTGTAATGTATAACCATCTAGTCAATTCCAACTCAAGGTGAGGTGAGGCCGTGTGTCTTAAAGTGGAACTGTGCTCACGGGCTTTCAGAGGCTGGATTTTCAGAAGCAGATTGCCTTTCTTTTGAGTTGCCTCTGGGTGAACTTGGACCTCCAACCTTTTGGTTTGCAGTCAAGCCTATTAAGCATTGGCATCACCCTTGTTGTTGTTCTTGTTCTGTGCCAGTGAGTCGGCCCTGATTCATAGCGACCCCTCCTTGGGTTTCCAAGGCAGTATCACTACAGAAGTAAGATTGCCCAACCTTCCTTCCGAGGAGTGGCTGGTGGGTTTGAACCGCCAGCCTTCTGGTTAGCAGTCAAGTGCCTTAGGCACTATGCTACCAGAGCTCCTTATCACCCTTGTTATATACATGAAAAAATAAACATATCTTTGCTCACATAGACACACACGTTTTTGAAAACAAAAACAGAAAAAGTGGCTTGCTTCCCCCCCAACACACTTTGAGATCGTGCTGTGTTTCCCCATGAAGCCTCAATTCTGTACAAGCAGGACTGTTTTTCTAAATAATGTGGTGAAATGCCTGCACTGAGATGTTCAGTAAATGAGAATGGAATTCTGCTCTTGAAAGCAGTGTCCATTTCCTTCCCCCCCACTGGCCTTTCTGCTCCCCTGAACCTGCGTCACCCAAGTCACCAATGGTTTCCATAGCAACAAAACCCAGTGGGCTCTTGTTAGCTGACCTCTTGGTACTGTTCTGTGGCCAGAGTGCTGTTCGTGAAATGCCAGTCTGAGCATGAGTCTTCTCCTTATAAAGACTGTGTAGCTCCCCCACCGCCCTTGAACAGTACACTTTCCTTAACCTGGCTTCACGGTGCAAGACATGCTTCTGTTTTACCTCCTCACCTTCACCTGTCTCTCCCTCTTCACCAGACACACACTTACTGCATTTTTATTTCCTCCAATTGATGCTTCCTCTTCTGGGCGAGAGCACCTACACCCAGAACAAGCTGCCTGAGTTTGAATTCTTTCATGGGAACTACTACTGACATTGGACTTGTTCCTCCCTTTCTTTCCTTCTGTGTAAACTAGAGCTAATAATCATACCTACATCAAAGGTTAAGAACAGATCTATCTTGGAAGAAGTATACCCAGAATGCTGCTTAGAAGCGAGAACAGCCAGACATTGTCGCTCCTACTTTGGCAATGTTATCAGGAGAGACCAGTCCCCTGGGGAAGGATCTCATGGTTGGTAAAGCAGAGGGTCAGCAAAATAGAGGAAGACTCTCAATGAGATGGACTGACACAGTGGCTGCAACAATGGGCTCCAGCATAGCAATGATTGTGAGGATGGTGCAGGACTAGGCAGTGTTTTGCTCTGTTGTATATAGGGTCGCTATGAGTCAAAACCGACTGGACAGCATCTAACAACAACATCATCAAAGGTTGTTGTATTACAAGTAGTTAATATATGCAAAGCCTAGCCCACCAGGCTGTTGTTGTTGTGTTGTTATTTGCCATCGAGTTGGACCCGAGTCATAGCGACCCCTCCTTGGGTTTTTAATGATGCCTTTTTCTCAATGAAGACTTCAGGGGGAGGAGGGAAGAAGATATTAAATCATGATCGTGTCAAATATTATCATTATCATATTATCATTATTTGGATAAATAAATCATTATTATTAAGTGTGATAAGTTGTTGTTTGCCGTCCAGTCGTCC